TACTAAGATATGTAACAGGGTTGATGTTTCAGGAGGGATAAGCCAAATGGCTAATGATTTAGGTAAATAGAAAAATGGTCAGAGTTGTGGCAACTGACATTTAATATGGATAAGTGCAAGATAATGCATCTTGGACGTAAAAACCCAAGGACAGAGTACAGAATATTTGATAGAGTCCTAACCTCAACATCTGAGGAAAGGGATTTAGGGGTGATTATTTCGGATGACTTAAAGGTAGGCAGACAATGTAATAGAGCAGCAGGAAATGCTAGCAGAATTCCATTGGAAAAAGGATACATTACCAACTGTCAGGGTACCTGTTGGTGATGTATCCAGGGAGGACATCCTCTCTGCTTAGGGGCTCCCTTCCCCTAGCATTTCGGCATATTCCGGCCGTTTTCGCGCCGGCCGCGCTAGCTCCTCCCCCTTTTATGACGCGACGGCTGGCGTCGACGTCATGACGTCGGCATTTGCATAAAGTGCCGGGAACCGCTATTCCGGACCTTTTGGGGGCGTGGTCTCTATTTAGGTCACAGGGTATTTAAAGGAAACCTTTACTACTGCTCATTGCCCTGTCGTGGTTCTAGCTTGCTAGTCACTCAGCCACTCAGCGTTCTTTATCTTGTATTTCCGGTTTTGACCCTTGCTTGTCTTTTGTCCTGTTGTCCTCTCCTCTCCTTTGACTCGGCTTGTATCTCGCTTACCTGTCCTCCGGCTCCCTTGACCTCGACTTACCTTTTGACTATTCTTGCTTTGTCCTTACGTTAGTCCGGCCATTCTAAGGTCCGGTATACGTACCTCCTTCTGTGCGCACTCTGCGTATTGGATCCCTGTCAGTTTCCTGACATTACGACAGGGCCATGATGGATCCTGCAGGTGCTAGTCCTTCTGACCCCAGATTTGAGGCCATGGACCATAGAATGGACCAAATGGCTTTAGCATTACAAACTTTGTTGACACGCTCCAGTACCCAGTCTGAAGAAATACGTTCCACTGCTAGCCACTCGCTAAGTACTGGTTTGGAAGTAGCCACTGTAGGCGCATCTTCCCATGTCACGTCACCATTACGATATGGGGGTTCGCCTGATGCTTGTCGTGGTTTTTTAAACCAGATAAGTACACATTTCGAACTACAACCCCGGGCTTACCCCACTGACAGGGCTAAGGTAGGCTTTATCATAACCCTGCTAATAGATAAAGCACTTAGATGGGCCAATCCCCTTTGGGAGAATGACAATCCTTTAGTCTACAACTACACTGCGTTTGTCACGGCTTTTAGAAGAACCTTTGACCCCCCAGGGAGGAAGATTAATGCAGCCAGATCCCTGTTACGCCTTAAACAACAAGATAGGACCCTTGTAGAATATGCTCTAGAGTTTAGATCATTGGCAGCAGAAGTGAAATGGAACGAACAAGCTTTTATGGATGTTTTCTTGAATGGTTTGTCTGATGAAATTCTAGATGAAATTGCCACAAGAGAACTTCCGGAAAATTTAGAGGATTTAGTATCCTTCATTTCCAGAATAGATGAACGCATGAGACAGAGGCAGAACACTTGGGAAAGAGTTACTAGACTTCCTGTAAGACTCGCTCCCTCATTTCAGAACCCTGACTCCTATAATCCTACTCCACCAGAACCTATGCAAATAGGTAATACTCGCTTATCTGAGGCTGAGAGACAGTACAGGAGAAGGGAGGGTCTCTGTTTATACTGCGGGCTGAGAGGTCACCTACGTCTCAGTTGCCCTAATCGTCCGGGAAACGCTCGCACCTAAGTTCCCTTAGAGGCCGGGCCTTGGGTGTTTCATTACTGTCCTCTATGCATAATAAAAAAGACCATAGGCTTCTGATTCCTGTCTCTCTAGCTTGGGAAAAGGGGTTTATTACTACGATGGCATTATTAGATTCTGGAGCAGCAGAAAGCTTTATAGACCAAACTTTTGCTAATAAGCATTGTATCCCATTCCAATTGAGAGATACACCCTTGGCCGTTGAGGCCATAGATGGTAGACCTTTATCTGAACCAGTAATATTCCATGAGACCGAACCCGTTAAGCTTACTGTTGGTATTTTTCACGAAGAGTTGATTTCCCTTCTGTTAATTTCCTCCCCGGCAGTCCCAGTGGTTCTAGGATATTCTTGGCTCAAGAGACACAACCCTCAGATTGACTGGGAGGGTGGAGAAATCGTTTCTTGGGGTATGGGTTGTAGGAAAGTATGTCTGCAGAGAGTTACGTCTGTTTGCCCCGTAAACTCTTATGCTAACACTTCCCAATCCACAGACGTTCAGATACCATTACAATATCTAGACCTCAAATCTGTATTTGACAAGGGTAAGGCGGATACTTTACCTCCCCACCGGTCTTATGACTGTTCTATTAAACTTTTCCCTGGTACTATGCCTCCCAGGGGTACGGTATACCCTCTATCCACCAAGGAAAACTTAGTTTTAGAGGAATATATCAAGGAGAATTTAGACAAGGGATTTATTAGAAAGTCTTCTTCTCCAGCGGGGGCGGGTTTCTTTTTTGTAGAAAAGAAAGACGGTACCTTACGTCCTTGTATAGACTATCGGGGATTGAACAAAATTACTATCAGAAATGCTTACCCTATTCCTTTGATTACTGAACTCTTTGACAGACTAAAGGGGTCGAGTATTTTTACTAAACTTGACTTAAGAGGAGCATATAACTTAGTGCGAATTAAACAAGGAGATGAATGGATGACAGCATTTAATACCCGTTACGGGCATTATGAGTATACCGTAATGCCATTTGGGCTCTGTAACGCCCCGGCCGTCTTCCAAGACTTGATCAATGAAGTTCTTAGAGAATTCCAACATGAATGTGTAATTGTATATTTGGATGATATACTAATCCATTCTAGAGATATTAATTCACATCATGGACAAGTCAGAAAGGTATTACAGAAACTTTTACAACATGGATTGTATTGTAAATTGGAAAAATGTAGCTTTGACCAGTCTCAGGTAACTTTCTTAGGTTACGTAATTTCCAAAGACGGGTTTATGATGGACCCGACAAAACTAAAATCGATTTTAGATTGGCCTTTACCTAAGGGACTCAAAGCCATACAAAGATTTCTTGGATTTTCGAATTATTACAGACGTTTTATTAAAGGGTACTCCTCTGTTATCGCTCCTATCACTAATATGACCAAACAAGGAGCCGATACCAAGACCTGGTCTACTGAGGCTTTATCTGCTTTCGAAACGCTCAAACAGTCTTTTGCCTCAGCACCTGTATTAGTTCATCCTGATACCTCTCTACCCTTTTTACTTGAAGTTGATGCATCTGAAACAGGGATAGGCGCAGTGTTATCCCAACGACAAAGTTTAGATAAGCCGCTGCACCCATGCGTTTTTTTTTCCAAGAAACTATCACACACTGAAAGGAGATATGACATTGGTGATAGGGAACTTTTAGCTATCATTATGGCATTAAAGGAATGGAGACATTTGTTAGAGGGCACCGTCCTTCCAGTTACTATCTTGACTGACCACAAAAATTTATCGTATATGGGGGAGGCCAAAAGATTATCTGCCAGGCAGGCACGTTGGTCTATGTTCCTTACACACTTTAATTATGTGCTTACTTTCAGGCCTGGTTCTAAGAACACTAAGGCAGACGCTTTGTCACGTCAGCACGAACCTACCACCTCTACAGAGGATACTTTGTTCCCTATTATTCCTGAAGTCAATATTATCGCCAACACCAATGTCAAAATACACTCTCCACTGCTCGCTGATATTCGGAACGAACAATCTCTTGCTCCCGAACGTACTCCTGTCTCCCAAATTCCAAGTGGACATTATTCGCTGTTTCCACGATAGCAAGATCGCTGGTCACCCCGGCATCCACAAAACTTACTGTCTGATCTCCAAAGACTTCTGGTGGCCCGGTTTACGTAGGGATGTGGAAGACTTTGTCAAGGCTTGCAATGTTTGTGTCAGGAATAAACTTCCACGGGATCTCCCTTGTGGTTTATTGCAGCCCTTAGTCATTCCCAACAAACCTTGGGCTTGTTTGGCTATGGATTTTATTGTTGATCTACCAGCTTCCAATAGGCATACAGTTATCCTCACGGTCCTTGACAGGTTTACTAAAATGGCTCATTTCGTTCCCTTGCCTAAACTTCCGTCCTCCCCCGAACTGGCCGTCATATTTGCTAGAGAAATTTTCCGTTTACATGGTATTCCCAATGAGATTGTGTCAGACAGGGGCTCCCAATTTATTTCCCGTTTTTGGAGATCCTTCTGTTCACAGTTGGGCATCAAACTGAATTTTTCTTCGGCCTATCATCCTCAATCTAACGGAGCAGCCGAACGCACTAACCAAAAAATTGAGCAATATCTACGTTGTTTTGTTTCGGAACACCAGGATGACTGGGTCGGTCTGATTCCTTGGGCGGAGTTTGCTCACAACAACCTTGTTTGTGGTTCCACTCGTAATAGCCCCTTTTTCTTGAACTATGGCTTTAACCCTACTGTTCTTCCATCGGTGTCTCCTTCCCAGGGTATACCGTCGGTTGATATTCATATAGCCAACCTGAGAAAGTTGTGGGATCAGACTCGACAAATTCTTGAACGTAGTTCCGCGGTGTTTAAGTCACATGCTGATAGGCGTAGGCGTCCTGCTCCTATTTTTTCTCCGGGGGATAGGGTTTGGTTGTGTACCAGACACATTCGCCTGAAAGTTCCTTCCTTGAAGTTTGCTCCTCGTTACATTGGTCCTTACAGGGTACTGAGGAGGATCAACCCGGTTTCTTATTTGCTGGATCTACCTCCTACTCTACGCATCCCTAACTCTTTTCATGTGTCGTTACTGAAACCTCTTGTTTGTAACAGATTTTCCTCCCGCTCTGCTCCTCCATCCTCGGTCCGTGTGGATGGTCAGGAGGAATATATCATCAAGTCCATCCTTGATTCTCGTATTTCTAGGGGGAAGCTGCAATACCTCATAGACTGGAAAGGTTATGGTCCTGAAGAGAGGTCTTGGGTTCCTGGTATAGGCGTGCATGCTCCTCGTCTTCTTCGGGCCTTCCACGTTCGTTTTCCTTCTAAGCCAGGTCCCATCCGCCCGGTGGGCGTTTCTAGAAGGGGGGGTACTGTCAGGGTACCTGTTGGTGATGTATCCAGGGAGGACATCCTCTCTGCTTAGGGGCTCCCTTCCCCTAGCATTCCGGCATATTCCGGCCGTTTTCGCGCCGGCCGCGCTAGCTCCTCCCCCTTTTATGACGCGACGGCTAGCGTCGACGTCATGACGTCGGCATTTGCATAAAGTGCCGGGAACCGCTATTCCGGACCTTTTGGGGGCGTGGTCTCCATTTAGGTAACAGGGTATTTAAAGGAAACCTTTACTACTGCTCATTGCCCTGTCGTGGTTCTAGCTTGCTAGTCACTCAGCGCGTTCTTTATCTTGTGTTTCCGGTTTTGACCCTTGCTTGTCTTTTGCCCTGTTGTCCTCTCCTCTCCTTTTACTCGGCTTGTATCTCGCTTACCTGTCCTCCGGCTCCCTTGACCTCGGCTTACCTTTTGACTATTCTTGCTTTGTCCTTACGTTAGTCCGGCCATTCTAAGGTCCGGTATACGTACCTCCTTCTGTGCGCACTCTGCGTATTGGATCCCTGTCAGTTTCCTGACACCAACTATTGGTGAATGGCTGGCCAGGGTGGAGGAGATTAGGTCGCTAGAGTTAGTGGTAGCATCTTCACAATGTAGATCAGAAAGTATGGCTTGTGTTCATGGGATTGTCATGGGATTGAATCTGAGAACTACAGGTTGTTGAATCTAGCTGGCTGGGTGGGTTGCTGTAACTTGGAAAATACTGATTAATCTGGACTCAACTTAACATGCTTTAGTTGCCTGGGATCCTCTTCCTTTACTCTCCCTCTCCCCAAGCCCAAGTCAATATTCATGCAAACTTCTTATTTCCTATTCTTTTTCTCTTTGTTTGGTACACCTTTTCTGCAGATAAATGTCTTTCAATGGTGTTATATTTCTTAACTTTAGTACTCATCCAATGTCATCATATGTTATCTTCGCATTGAGGAAATATTACACTGTATCTCATGTACTACTTGTTTCAATGCCTTCATTTTTGTGTACATTTTTAACATGTGAAAAAGTATTTCAAATCAAGATTCTTTAAAAAAAAAAAAAAAGCTTTTATACTGTTATGCTTAAATTCAGAATGCTGCTGGTTATATGCAAAGGGCTTAGGAGAACATATACATAATAATAAACCTATTTCATATCTGTAACTATTAAACCATAATCTAATTTAACTGGAGATCATATTTCCAGTGTCTTATGATAATAAGTAATTAATGTGAAGAGTTTTTTATTTTTGTTTACCCACTGAATTAATTACACACATATATATATATATATATATATATATATATTAAAAGCCAAGCCAAGCAACATTAAGATTTGTAAGAAGGGGGACGGCAATTAGCTGTCAATCAAGATGGCTGCTTAAGGCGAAAGCTCCTTGAAACCATGGCTACAAACGGTGGTAAAAACAGAGAGAAACAAGATATTCACACAGCATTTACTTTATTTAACAGCTAAATATACGGTGAAAATTATGAAATCAGAGAAAACTGAGAAATCCAGTTCACGTATAAAATTATATTA